TGAGGAACAGCACAAGACATCGCACGTCACCCATAGGTTACAAATTGTGGGACCGAACGGCCAAATGCCTGCAAAATAAATGCATTTCCTTTGATTTGTGGTTTTGATTCCGGAGTGACTCCAGAATCGAGTCAAATGTTGTCGAAGTTTATATATTTTTAACTAAATTATATCTAAACACCAAATAAAAGTTAACATGATAATTTCAGTATATTTTATAAGAATAACTCGACAATAATTATAATCTTTAAAAATAATATTAAACAACTACTATACTCTAGTACAAATGTAACTGAATTTATATATTAACTTCCATATAAAATACTATTTAATAATGATATATTGTTGGTTAAACTTTGAAAACTCAATACCTTTACCTTAAAATTCTAAGTTAATTAAATTTTTTTGTGAGGTTTACTCCACATACATGTTTTAATAATACATTTGAGTTTAATAATACACTCCGATAGACTTATGGGCAATATATTTGGCAAAAAGGTCTTCAATTTAAGCGATTGAGTAAATATTTGTGAGAATAAACAAATATATCCAATGGATTTCGGAGTATTTTGAATTGCTTTAAAGTTAGCAAATATTAATATAAATTTAATTAAATATTTTACTTTTAAAGTTACTCCTAAACGCCAATTTGCAATTAAATATTTGCACTTAAGATACAGTACGGTATTTGTCAAATAACAAGCTTATTTCAAAATAATTATAAAATCATTAGTTAAATATTTTTATTTTAAAAATCATTAAAAATCATAACAAAAATATTATTAGTCTTTTAGTCTTTGTTTAGAACAATAGAGAAGATTTCGAGAGAGACTATAAAAAATGCAAAATTAATTTGATATTAGAATAACAAAGGGTCGCAAACTTATTAAACATAATGAAATGAATTCTCTCATGAATTATGCGCTGAGAGTCTGATATTAATTCTTTTTTGATAGATTTCCAAACAGAGATCGTATTAATAGTTATCAAAATAATGAGTTAGAAGTAAATTGTAGTGAATGAGTGAGTCGACCGTACTATACGGAAAAGATGAGAGAGAGCAGAAACATTGATCGATCGGTGCGGAGGATAGAGAGTGTTAATCGACAGCTTAATGTTAGCTCTTATTATACGAGAAAAACTTATTTTATAAATACTAATAGAGAAGCGAAGAGAAGAGGTTTGACGACAAACTTATAACAATTGCATTATATTTTCGTATGAATTCGTGTTTTTTATCTCACACTCAATCCAAACGCCTGAAGGCGTGAAAAAAGCTTAACTCTTGGTATGAAAAAGTTTTACTATAAAAACATTGAGTATTAAAGCAATGTCTGTCTGTCTGAAAAGCTTTGGCAGTTATGATGACTTCAATTCTGTGGTGAATTAATCACAATATTTTGCGGACAAAAGTTTGTGTCTTTGATGACATTATTATAAAAATGTTCGCAAATATTTTATTTTTCAATTCATTTATTTGATATAAGAGTGAACACAAGAATAATATGAATACTTAATTCTCAGCAAATATTTAACTCTCTTTCCCATAATATCACGAATATTTCGCTCATATTCTCATTGAATCCTATTTTTTCGTTCATTAAACTAAAGACATTGTAATCGTTTATAAGTTTCTTATGCGAAATCATTATACGGTATAACAGATGTTTGCAATTTTCAGATGTATTCAGATGCTTAGTAATTATAAATTTTTTCTTTAGTATTGATTTAAAAAATTTTAGCTCTTATTCATTATTTAAACCAAAGTTTTGACAGTTATAATTTATAAAATGTGCATGCCTACAACGAAAGTATTAAATTAAATGATATCCTTTAAGACTAACAAAATTATTGATATCAAAGTGAATGTCATTAGAGGAGGAACTCATACTGATAATGTATGAGTTCCTCCTCTAATATATTACTAATATATTTTCAATTTAGGAAATTTCAAATGAAAATCTATTATTTTACGTGAATTTTGTATGATATTTTATATATCATACAGTACCAGTGCCTTATTCTTTCAATGAGTTTTAGATAATGAAATTATTTTACGACATATTATCTAATAATATCCTTATTATTTTTTTCTATTTGATATTATTATTTTTTGATTATTATTTGATAGTTATTTTATTATAAATTATGAAAAATTTGCTTTAAAACTCTCATATAAGTAGTAATAATGGCTTAACAAAGAAATCGAAAATAACTTAAATTGTATAAACACTTGACAGTAATACTGTGCTAAAGACAAGTTGAAAGGCGCTATACATAAGTGCTTACAATCTAAAGCACTTTCAAACACTTTTGTTATTTCTAAGAGAATTCAATTCTATAAATATATCAAATTGGAGATTAAATCTTCATATTATTTGAGTTTCTATTAATAGTTATACATAATTTTGACACAATTAACTTGAATTTTTCTGTTGAAATACTTAACACCTTTAAGACCTACTGAATTTGATGTTTTTTAATATAATTTAAAAAGTAGATAATTTTGAAAAATAAAGAATTTTGTATACAATTATATTATTCTGTTTATAAAAATGTTAACAGTAAACTTAAAGCCATTATACAACATAAGAATGTCTTATTGTGCAATAAAATGTTTTAAAACATTACAAATATCTATACTATACTAACATTATATAGTTTTCCGTATATAATTTTAGTGACAACTAAATTAGTTGAACTAATTAATCCTTTGTGTCCATATGACAGTCTTTTAAAATTAAAAATTATGAAGATTTTCAAACAATTATTATATATTATATATAATTTCAGATTAAATAATATTTTTAATCTCTTTAATATATTTTTAATCTCTTTAATATATTTTTAATCTCTTTAATATATTTTTAATCTCTTTAATATATTTTTAAATTATTATAATATTATTCAGAGTTATATTAAAGGTTTTATAATTTTTGATATGATCCGATTATACCATAATCATTTGACCAGAATTGTCTAATGTATTATTCAATAAATATTTTAATAATATTAAGTATAAACCTTTAAAAAATATAACAAAGTTTTATATAAAATTATTAACTCATAACTTAGAATATTTAGAATTACGGGTTTCTTAAATTTAATTTTAAGTTTTATACAGTATTATAAAACTAATAATAAAATAGATATACTGTATTAATAAGCATTGAAAAATAATTAACTATTATCATAAAAACAAATTCTCAATAAAATATAATTTAAATGCTAAATAAATACCCAGGTGTATATATTATTACAAAAAAGTAATAAATATGTGAACACTAACCGTAAAATTCATTTAAAATACCAAAAGGCATGACAACAACAGAGACGAGCAGATCTGCCACCGCCAGACTGTCCGTCCAATCAGTTATTATACGGCAAATGATTTAGAAAGCAATCAATACATGAATAGATTTGTTGAGATGTAATGCACGGGTATGTTTTCATGGGTATGTATATATTGACTATACCTGAGCAAAAAATAATTGGTCGCATTTTGTAGTCTCCTTTCAAAGCCAATGGCCAGACAGACGAGAATATTACCAAACCCTCCGATAATGACTAATAATCCGAGCAAAAGGAAGGGCCACTTGTAGACCGGCATTAATGGCTCATTAGTTGCCGTTTGTGTGGTGTTTGATATGAACAACAAGTCACTAAACACTGTCGACTCGATTGTATTCATAGAGCTGTACGTAATATCACTGGATGTGGTCGTGTCGGACAGTTGTATCACTTGAGTGGGTCTCGAGTCCCACTGAGTGAGCCATTGGAGACATTCCTCTTGATTGGAATCACTTATGTTATCGTTTGAACAAATTATAGGCAAATTAATTAAATTTCTATCCCTTTGCAACTCTGTTAAGCTTTTGTTGAATAAACTATTTTGCATATTAGTTGTCGGTATAAAAGACCAGTTGGTGAACGACATCTCCCTTTCCATTGTTAATTACACTGATTTGTCACTTTTATTATTAATATATTCTCAAATCGGTGTTTTCATTTTTATTTTCACTGCAAAAATACATATAAAATTAAATATGAGTTACATTCAATTCAATTAGAATTAGTCTAATTATTTTTAATTATTCTTAATTTTAAAAGTTTTTGTTTTAAATTTATACTAAGCTTACTTATTTACTATTAAATTATAAGAATCATATATATATATATATATATATTATAATATTAAATAAAGTATAAAATATTACTGTATATATTTTATAGTAGATTACATAGTTTCCAATTTTATTAAACTAAAAAATATTTCTGTATTGATATAAGAAAAACATACGAGATACTTAAA